GCCTGACATTTAAGGGCCAAACTTCGGCCTGGGGAGCCTTGGGCGGGCATGGCAGCCATCACCGCTGCCCCCGTGTGTTGCCATCACAGGAGAAGCTGCCTTGGGGAGGAGTCTGGATGAAGGGTGGGTTGAGACAGAGGGAAAAAGCCTCCAGAGGAATTGAGGCCGGAATGACAGCGAGGAAGGAGAGGAGGAGACAGGTGGGTGCAGGGAGGGGCCCCGAGAAATGATGTGCAGAGCCAGGTCCTAGAAGAGCAGCGCCATGTGGGGACTGAAGACAGGGAAGCCGGGTCCCTGTTTGTGAGAATGTCACCCAGGGCAAGATGCCAGCACCCAGAGGGACCCCCAGGCCTATCCTCCACCGCGGCCCCTGTGAACGGGGACTGTGCCGTGATGTCACGTACAGCCAAGTCAGGAGCCCTCCAGCTGGGCTGAGACCCCCTTTGATTGAGACATGTCGTGACTTCCGAGATGCTGAGATGTGAAGGAAAAACCCTGCACATCTCAGAGTCAGCGAAACGGGGGGAGCAGCGGGCCGGCTGGCCGGGGGAAGGATCACGTGCTTACTCTACTCAACCGAAAGCTGATGGATGAAGGATGTCGACAATCCCTGCCTCTTTATAATAAAAGATAATTTAATCACAGCTATTAAAACCATCACAGCTATTAAAACCTAAGCTTCTCCCCGACGTGGGCTGCTTTTAACAAAAAACCGTGGGTTCTGCTGTTCCCCACACACAGACCTGGCAGCCGTCAAAGAGAGACGCTGAGTCTCTGGGCTTTGGTCGCAGGAGCCCATCTGGTTTGAAGTACTACGACAAGCAGGGAAGGGCATTGAATCAAAGGCCCAATGTGTGTTTTCTGGAATACAGAAAACGCGTGAGGTAGCACCAGGATAAAGTCCCATCCTGCCCTCACCAGGGCTGGGCGCCACCACCTACTCCTTGGAGGGTCCAGAGCAGATGCAGAGGGCTCGGTGAGGAGGGGCAGGAAGGGCCCGAGAAGAGCACACGGCCTCTTTGGACCCCACAGGAGGAGGAGGAGAAGGCAGATGTTCCAGTGCCTGCGGCACAAGCACGGGGGCCTCCCGTGTTCGCGGAGAGCTTCCTGCACAGGGCAGGGTCAGCACCACAGCCTGAGGGGCAGCTGAGGCCCGGGGCCCTGGAACACGGGCCACGTGCTCTCCTGGCACTCGGCTCCTGCTCGGGCTGCACTGCCACACTGGGATCACCTGGAAGCCACCACCCTCTAGCCACTCGCTCAGCAGCTGTGGCCACGTGGCATTCTCCGGTGCATAGGCGCTTTGATCTGTGGCACACCCGGGCTCGGTGCCTGGGCCTCGCACAGCTGTCGTCGCAGGATCCCACACGCTCCCGGCTGCCCCAGCTGGAGCGCGCCCCGGGGCGGCCACGACCCTGCCATATCAGGGTCTGCTCTCCCTCTGCAGCTCAAGGCGCCACGGACAGATTCCCAGCATGCTCCTGCCTCTGCACCCCACGTGCCTCCCTGAGGGAGACGCATGTGAGCAGCCCCTCCGAGCAGTGTGGAGGTCCCCGGACTCCCTTAGACAAGGGGGCCAGCGCTGTGGAGGGGGTTCGTGGAAGCCCCGGGTGGCTCTGGACCTGGCCTCATCCTCTGCAAACAGGGAGCAGGGCTGCCGCAGGGTCTTCCAACTGCACCCCCAGCACTCAGAGGGCCAAAGTAGGTATGGACAGCCCACCCGCACTCAGTCAAGAGCTTACCCATTTCCTGTGTCATGCATGTGTTGTTTTCTGAAGGGTTTGGAGGAGGGAAGCAGGGTCTCGGGACCCCAGCTCTTGTCCTCCTGAGACTGGCAGTTGGACACCTGGGCCAGACTGGGTGGGGGCAGATCGGGGCTTCTGGACGAGCTGGGGAACCCAGAGGAGGGTGCTGGGAGGAAGCCTGGGAGGAGATAGCAGGTGGGACGAGACCCCGAGTGGCAGCGTGGCTCAGGGGGCAGGGCGGGCGTGTTGGCAGAGGAAACTTAAAGCGAGGGGGATGGCAGAAAGGAGGCCACTGTCTTCTGTGGCTCGAGCGGGGTGACTAATCACCATAGCCTGTGCAGCTCGCGAGCAGCAGGCATTTACTTCTCGCAGTTCTGGAGACTGGAAGTCTGAGATCGGGGTGGCAGCGTGGCCAGGTTCTGCTGAGGGGCTGCTTCTGGTCGCACGGACAGCAGCGTTCCTGCTGTGTCCTCACACGGCCAAAGGTGGTAGGGTCCTATCTATCTACCATCTATCTATCCAATTTATTTGACAAGGTCTCGCACCATGACCCAGGCTGGAGTGCAGTGGCGCCATCATAACTTGCTGCAGCCTTGAACTCCTGAGCTAGAGCGATCCTCCTACCTCAGCCTTCCAAGTAGCTGAGAGAACAGGTGTGTGCCACCATGCTAATTATTTTAATTTTTTGTAGAGATGGAGTCTCACTATGTTGCCCAGGCTGGTCTTGAACTCCTGGCCTCAAGTGATCCTCCTGCCTCAGCCTCCCAAAGTACTGGGATTACAGGCATGAGCCACCGCACCCCATCTGGGGTCCCTTTTACGATGGTGCTAATCCCATCCATGAGGGCTTCACCCTCATCACCTAATCACCTCCAAAGGCCCCACCTCCTGACACTACCTGTTTCAACATAAGAATTTGGGGGGACACATTCAAGCCATAGCTATTACAGAATGGAAGCCGACAGAAGCCATTTCATAGGGGAGTCCAGAGGTTGCTGCCCACGGGAATGTCATCACCACAGGGATGGTAGTGCCGGTGCCCGCAGCTGGTGGGCACCCACCAGGCACCCGTTAAGGAACAAGTGCTTGAGAGATGGTGGGCAGCCTGGGCCAGCCTCACAGACACAGGGCAGAGCGAAAGCCACCCCCCGAGTGCCTTGCTGCATGCTGTCATTTATGAGATGTTCTCTGACAAACTCTTCTATGGGGGTGGAGGGGAGAACGTGCTTCTGGGAGCTGTCACCCAGCAAGGGTGCACCCTCATCCGCAGCAGCCAGTGTGGTGACCTGCAGTTCCCATGGAGTACTTGGAACAGGGCCAGTGAGGACCTGAGTCTACACAGCTGGCCAGAGTGGTGGCTTACACCTGTAATTCTAGCACTCTGGGAGGCCGAGGCAGGAGCGTAGGAGTTCGAGACGAGCCTGAGCAAGAGCAAGACCATGTCTCTACAAAAAATAGAAAAATTAGCCAGGCGTGGTGGCACCTGTAGTCCCAGCTACTCAGGAGGCTGAGGCAGAAGGATTGCTTGAGCCCAGGAGTTGGAGTTTGCAGTGAGCTATGATGACACCACGGCACTCTAGCCCGGGTGACAGAGTGACACTCTGTCTCAAAAAAAGTAAATGGCCATGTATGGCTAGTGGTGATCCTGTTGGACAGCAGGGTGCTCCATCTCCCCTGGCCGTCAGGACAGGATGGGGGACATCTGTACATGGCCAGCAAGCTGCACACCAGGGGCCCTACACTTGGCTATGTGTTCCACCCTCACACTTACAAACGCGGGGCTCCAGCATTCATTCAGGGGAGAGCGTCTCCTTGCTTTAGCTTTGAACAAAACCAAGGTAGAGGTCTCTTTAATGGCACCCCTCCCCCTGTGCCCCACAGGACACCCTGGGCGTTGAGAGTGCAGAATGGCTACATTCCAAAGGGAGAGAGGGAGGCCTGAGACGTGCCCAGTGCCCTCTGCAGCGCAAACCCCGGCCACCACCCCTCAGGCACAGGGCATCCCTGGCCTCCCAGGACAAGGTGGGGTGTGATGCAAATGGATAACGCTGCCCCAAGTGGGGATCGCACTGTCACCTGCGGCTGACCAAAGGGAGATCTGCAGTCTGCAGGCTGGGGCAGGACTTGGGCATGGGCCTCAATAGCTGGCCCCAGGGGTGCATCCCTTGGGCTGTGTCCTCAGAACCTGCTGGCCACTGGGCAGATGCTGCAGAAGCCTTCACACCCTGGTGCTGGATGCCCTTTGAGGCTTTCAGTGGGCCCTGGTGTCCCCCTCATTTCCTAGACTGGCCTATGGGAACAGCTCCTCCCATCCAATTGCTAAGCCCCTGGTCACTTCCCCCAGGCAAACAAATCCCGGAACGAAGAACAGCTTGGGTCCAGGGCTGACATCTGGAAGTGTCTGGGCATGCCCTCACAGAGGTGGCACCCAGGCCACCGCTGCCACTCGGCAGTGATGGGCCGAGCAGCCTAGAAGGCAGCAGTTGCCACAAACACTGGGACAGACACGGAAAGCGGGGAACAGAATCTCCGCCACGTGCACTTCCCGTTCATGTGGTGTCCACGTTAGCGGCCCTGACGCTGGCTGGCGGTCAGCCTTTCCTGCCGGCACTCAGGAAGGGAGACATCAAAGGGTTCCTCTGGCTCCATCCCTCGTGTTGAGTTGATGGGGAGAGGTCCCTTGGCCACCTGGCCTGGGAAAATGCTTCATAGACAGGTTTCAAGATGACTCATGGCCACTGTCATTGTGCCCCCTGTCCAGGTCACTCTGTAGGGACACTCACAGTGAATAAAGTCAATAAACAGGGGAAAATGCAGGCTTGGGCTGGGCTGGGCCAGGGGAAACGCTACAGAACAGAGCTGCCTGTTTTTGCCTTTCCATGACCCCATCCGGGTCAGGGGCAGCCCCAACCAGCTGTTCTGTCGCAACCATCGTCCCATCCACCGCTTCCACAGAAAAGCTTCTGTCCCCAAAACCAGTCAGGGCACAGGCCATAGTCCTAGAATAGTGACAACTGCAGATGTAAGAAATGTAAGTACAAAGGCAGGACGCACACCTCGGGCTGGTCCCCCAGCCGGGGAGGCTGGGATGCGCGCACCAGTGGAGGGTAGGGGTCGCGCAGGCGCGGGAGGGGCGGGCGCCGGCGACTGAGCAACGCCTGCGGGAACTGGGTCTGGGAACCGCTTAAGTCCTCCCGTTGTCTGAGATCCCGCCAGCGATCTAACTGGGTGCAAATAAATGGACACGCAGGCAGCTTCCAAAAGAAGCGAAACCGTTTATCAAGTTGGCGCCGGCGCGGTATCTACAGTATCTACACATATCTACACGTATCTACACCGCCTGCAGGCGGGACTCTCGGATCTACACTGCAACTGCCGGCGGACCGCGGGCCACGCAGTCTCGGGGAGAACAATAAATACCACTTCCTTCCGCCTCTGACCGGGACTTTGGCACTGGAGGGCTGGGGACTCCGTGGCCCTCGGGCCGGGGAAGGACCCGAGGCGGCTCCGGGGACTAGGAAACCGGATACTTCGGTGGCCCTGGGGCCGGAGGGTGGAAAACCCCGGCGGCCTGGAAGTTGGGACAGGAGACCGGCCGGCCCTGGGCTGGGGGCACATGTTCCTCGCGGCCCTGGTCGCTGCGCGAGCGGAGCGCTAGCGGTTATCTGGGGCAGTAGTCGTAGGAGCCGGGCGGCGCGGCCCCGGCCGACGAGTACATGTTGGCGGCGGCGGCAGCGGCGGCGGCGGCGGCGGCGGCAGCCGGGCTCACGGCGGGGTGGTGGTGGTGGTGCGGGTGCGCATGCGGGTGGTAGCCGTGGCCGCGCAGGCCGGGCAGCGGGTAGGGCGCCGGCCGGCTCTTGGCCCCGAGGTAGTGGTCGTAGGCGACAGCCGGGTACTTGTAAGGGTGGTGGTGCAGCGGCTCCGACGCGCCCGGCGCCTCCAGGCGCAGCTCGGGGTGCGGGGGGCTGGGCCGGCCGCCGGGCGCGCTGGGCAGCGGGAGGAGGCCGCCCGCGCCACCCGCCCCGGGCAGCGTGGGGCTCAGCACCCGGGCCAGCAGCTGCGGCGGGTGCGGCGGGTCCCCGAGCACGGCCGGGCCGCCCGCGTCGCGCTCGAATTCTCGCCGGGCCTCGGCCGCGTCTGCAGGGAGGGCCGGGGTGAGCGTGGCCGGCCGGGGCCGCCAAGATGACCCGCCGAACCACGCGAGGCCCTGGCGGGGAGGCGGCGCTCGGCATTCCCGACTCTTCTCTGCGAGCCCGTCGGAGACCCCCGCGCCCTCCCCGAGGGCCCGCGCCCCTCCGCGGGCGACAGCGGCGGGCGGGGCGCAGCCGTCGGGCCGGGCGGGCGAGTGCGCGCTTGCCCGCCGCCGCCACGGCCGTTGTGCAACCGGCGGGAAGGCCGCGAGCGCCCCGGGGGTGCAGGCGAGGCAGGGCGCGGTCGCCGGCCCGGGGCGGAGCGCGCACACGGCCGCGACCCGGATCCCACGACCCAGGCCCTACCTTTCTCCGCGCCGTTGGGCTGCGTGGGGGAGGCCACGGGGTTCCGCGAGCGAGCGAAGGCGCTCATGAGCGGCAGCGCGCCGGGCCGGTGGTTCCGGGGCCTGCGGGAGGGAGCGGGAGGGAGGCGAGTCAGGGCGGCGCCTCCGCCAGACACCCGGTTGCTCATTCGCCTCGACTCACCAGTCCTCAGGGTCGCAGTCCCGGAAGCCTTTGGCGAAGGGATTGCTGGCAATCTTGAGCTGCGTGATCTGCAGGGAAGCGGGTGTGAGCCCTGCAGCTCGTCGCCACCCAACCTCGGCAGAGCACAGGCGAGTGTCAGCAAGAGCTCGCCTGGGAAGGGCCTCTCCCGCTGCCCACGTCTGCTACCTGCCTCCTGTCTTGAGGGTCGGGAGCCTCCTCTCTCACTAGGGGACTCCTCTTTGGTGCACCAAGTGAATGAGGATGGAGACCTTGTGCGCCCCGCCCCCGCAGGATGGGAATGTGGTCACCTCTACCCCCCACTGTGCAGTGGGGGGACTGAGCGGGTGCTCTAGGAATCTGGGTAAACCTCGGATCAGGCCCCTGATGGGGAGTTTCCGGACTGGTTTGGAAAACAAACTTTCATGCCGCCCTGACAGTTGCTGCTAGAGAGGTCAAGCAGATAGGAGGTCCTGCCAGCCAGCACAGGAGGAGGGGGCTGCCTAGGCCCTGGGGGGTTAGGGGGGCTCCAGCTGGGTCAAGCTCCACTGGGACCCACAGCCTGCAGGTCCAAGCCTTCCCTCCCTCTGACAGCAACTGAACATGGCACCCTCTGCCCGTGCCCAGGGCCTCCTCCCTGCAGGCCCTCACCCGGTGGTTCTGGTAGGCAGTGACCGCCGTGAAGCGGGTCTCCTCGAACACAAAGGTTTTGAAGTTCTCCTCCGCATATTTTTCACTGTCTTTGCGTGGGTCCACATACACCACATGGAATCGGGGCTGGTATCTGTGCATGGAGTTGAGAATGATCTGCAAGACAAGATGGGGACCAGCTCCAGTGGCAGGACTGGTCGGAGCCAGGAAATGGCTGAGGTCTGAGTAGGCAGTGAACATCCCGGATAAGTTGGGCAAAACTCTTAACTTTGGGGATGAGGCTGGGATCCACTGGGGACTGCCAGGAAAGCCACTCTAAGTGGCAAAAGATCGATCTCTATCGATGGGGATTTAGGTTCTCTTTCCTTAGGTCCCTGATCATTGCTGCAGGGCCTGCCTGCCAGGGTGGTCGCTGTGGGCTAGAGCTCAGCCCGCATGGATTCCATAAAACCTCCAGCCCACATGCACTCCCCGCCTTCCAGTTAGAAAGCCTCCAGCATAAGATCGGGACTGGAGTGAGGAAAGGAGGGAGAGCCTGTTCCCAGGCCGTGTGACCCCTGCCTGGACGCCGCTCTCCCAGCCTGCCCCTCATCCGCACAGCAGTGCTGCCCAAGCTCTGCCTAAGCCTCCAGCCAGCCCCTGGGGACTCCGGAGATTCCACCGGGGACAGCCGGGGAGCCTGGAAAGGGGGCGTCGCTCACGTGGCCGTTGTCGTCCAGCAGGTTGTTGGTCAGCTTGAGCTTGTCGAAGGACACGATTTGTTTCATCCACTGTGTGCCCTTAGCAGGCGAGTCCGGGTGGTAGTGCACGCGGCCCGGCGTGGCGGGGTCCGCCTTCCCAGCCACCAGCCAGGAGGAGCTGTGGAAGGCGTACCTGGAGTGGCACCGGGGCAGGGGTCATGCCACGTGAGGGGGAACACAGAGGGCCTTGCCCATCATGTGCTGGGTGAACCCCAAAAGTGCTTCTGCGGAGCTTCCCCATCTGTGAGATGGAGACCTATAGTGCCACGAGGGCTGAGAGCTTTGCCAAGGGGATTGCGGAAAAACCAGAAAAGTCCCACCTGCCCCCAACGCACAAAAAAGAATGAGCAGGGAATCCAGGACTCGGAGGTTGGGCTTCCCCCTTCTCTACATTTCGCTGCACGCGGGTCCACCCACCCCTGGGTGCCGAGGCGGCAGGCAGGAACCCGGATTTGGCCTCCCAGCTCTCTGGCACAGGGCAGTCCACGTTCCTTTATTAATTGCTGTTAATTGTCCGGGTGGCTGAGGCCCGCCCTGAGTAATCTCTCTCGGCCTCCCCACCTTTCCGGCCCAGCTCCAGGACCCAGCGTTCCCTGGGGATGGGGGAGGGGGACGAGGCACTCCAGCTTGCCTTGTGGGAGAGGGAGACATGAAGAGATGGGGGCTGTGTGCTTGGCCCACCCACCCCAGGCCATGCCCGCCCAGGGGTGTCAGAGCTGCCTTTGGGACCCCTGGGGCGGTTCCGGAGAGCACCTGGGGTGAGGAGTGAGTCTGAGTTGGACAGCGTCCAGGGAGGGAGCAGGGGCAGAGGCACAGGTGCCTGGGAGGACCTGCTTACTAAAGAGCTTCATGCTGTGGGCCCTTGGAGTTGGTCACCAGCACTTCCAGGGCGCCCTCCCAGGTCCTGCATGCATGCAGCCGGCCCAAGTGGCCCCAAGGACTCACTCACCGGTAGCGCTTGTCATCCACTGGCACGAAGTCCATGAGCAGCATGTAGTCCGCCATGGGATCCATGCCGAAGAGCTTCACTTGGAACGTGGGGAACATTCGCCTGGGGTTGGTGAGGCCTCAGGTCACCTCCCTTGGGGAAAGGCAGCCCCTTCTCCTTGACCCACCCACCGGTGCTCGGCAGTGGCCCTTCCCTCAAGCCTCGGGGCTGCCCAGTGAGCCCAGGCCGTGGCTCTCATCCCCCTTCCCCTAGGCTCAGCTGCTCTAGCCCGAGTAGGCTCCTACTCCACTGTGGGCACAGCATGGCAGGGCAGCCCGCCTGGGCCCTTTTTCTGAAACAGAAGTCGCTAGCCCAGGCTGGAGCTGAGCCTTGCAGCCCCAGCCTTCCTCTGCCTACTTTCCCTGCATAACCCAGCCCTGCCCTTGCCGATGTTTTTGTCTCAGGGAGTCAGTTGCGGCCGGCCGGCTAGGCGCCTAAGGCGCCTAAGATGTGCCCTTGGCAGAGCCTCTGCAGCTCCAGGTCAAGGCAGCCCCCGGCTCCAACAAAGTGAAACCGGGTAGTCCGTGAGATTTCGAGGAGTCCGTATTGCCCTTTCAGCTGGGTCTGCAACTGCTCCCCAATCCCTCCAGAGAGGCCACAACCCCCCTGAGTCTCAGGCCATGGCCCCATGCTGGAGTCTCCCCACATTCCTCAGGGACACAGGCAAGTTCCACTTCCCCCAAGACACATAACCCCCAGACACAGCTGCCCAGGGAGGGCTTGGCCCATGCTTTACAGTTCCCCAAATCTCCCCTCTTCTGGCTCCCAACTTAGTGACTGATCGGGGGCTCTTGAAAGGACATCCTGGATGGGTTGCTGGCTGTGGGCCGGCCCCCACCTGATGGCACAGCAGTACCGGCCACTGGGCCCTGGAGGACTGCATGAGGTTTGGCCTCCACTTGCCCTCCTCACTGCCTCCCCTCAAGGCAGCTCCCTGCGGGCAGTGGGCAGAACCAGAGGCTAGGAGCCAGTCCTCCCTACAGGCCTCTGCCACCGCCACTCAAAGCCCCTGCAGGTCAGGGGTGCTGCGGAATGTCCGCTCCTGGGGTGAAGCCCAGCGCCAACAAGGCCCTTGGTGGGCTGGCCTGGGCTGGAGGCCGGGCTGCCACTGTCCTCAGGAGGGCTGGTGTGCCCAGGGACAGCAAGGAGAGCCTGGGGAAAACCTACAAGGCCGGAGGAGCAGAGCACAGGCCCCGGGTTCCCCAGGGCGGATGGCCGCCGCAGGGAAACAGAAACCGAGAGCAGGCTTTGCAAACAGGCCGCGCTCCCCTTGGCTGTGCGGACACCGAGCCGGTGTGTACATTAGACACAGCCCAGCACCCGCCTTTGTCTCCTGGTCAAATCGGGTGCATCCGCAAAACTTGTTCCCCTTCTCTCTCGGCCCTTAAAACAAATACAGGCCCATTGGAAGGCGGCGGGCCGCTCGTCGCAAAGCCAGGCCCCACAACTGCCCGAAATTTAGGCTGGAGAAAATTCCTAGCAACCCCGCTGCACAAAGCAAGCTGCTTTTTAGGGTCCTAATTTTCTCCTGAAATTGTCCAGACCATTGCCAGACTGCCGCTCTTTATCTCGCCCGCATACACTGAACTCCGGAACCCAAACGGAGTTTCCTTGGAGGTGGAATCTGCTGGGAGCTGCTGGGCGGCCGCCTGCTCCCGGCCCCGTGCGCTCCGAGCCGGCCGCTTTCCCGGCGCGCGTTGGGCTCCCGCGCGGGTCGGGCGGGCCGGGCCGGTTCCCTGACGCCGCGCGGTGCCCTCCCGCCTCAGCGGAGGCAGGCAGTGCGAGGAGCGGCGCGCGAGGCGGCTGTCGCCGGAGCCGGGACCGCGCAGAGCGAGGAAGGCGGCAGGGCTGAGAGGGACCCGCAGGTGGCCGGGCCGCGCCCCCCACCCGGCTTCTCGGCCCCACTAGCGCAAATCCGGCCGAGGCCCCGCGGCCCGATAGCGGCCGCACGTGGGGAGGGTCGCGCGGAGGGGCGCCCTGACCTGCCGGCCTTGGTGACGATCATCTCGGTGCCCAGCTGGTTGAACTCGTCCCACAGCGCCTTCATCTCCAGCTGCACGCTCACGCTGGCCACCTTCGCGTTCTTCTTCACTGGCGCCTTGGCGGCGGCCGCGCAGCTGGCCCCGGGGCCCTCGGGCTCGGCGGCGCTGGTGGCGGCCCCCGCGGCCGGCGCGAACGGGTAGGCGTGCGGCTGGGGGCCGGGGGCGCCGGGGGCGGCGGCGGCGCACGGGTCGTAGCGCTGCGGCGGGGGCTCACGCGGGCCGTATGGGTCGGCACCGGGCGACGCGGCGCCCGGGAAGCCCCCCGCGGCCCCCAGGCTGCTCAGGCTGCTGGCCGTGAAGGCTGCAACGTCGCAGAAGTGCGAGAGCTGCGTGAGCCACGGGCTGGACACGGCGGAGATCATGACCCGCGGGCCGCCGCCGCCGCCCCGCCGCCGAGCTGAGCGCTGCCCCGCGCCGCGGGCCGAGTGGCGGGCGCTGCGCTGCGTGCGCCCCTACGGCCAGGAGATCCGCGCTCTGCGCGCCCAG